GACATGCAACTTTAAGTGGAGTTATCGTGGCTTTGCCGACCAGACTGCCGTCTACAATATGTCAGCAGTGGAGGACCGTCTGATGGCGGCGTACACGCGACTGACGGAGTGTGGTATAGTGTAAATGATCGTTACCAGTGGTTCCGGTCTTGAGTGACATGGATCTTATGAAAGAGGATATGGTGATATTTAATTCGTGTGGTGCTGTATGAACGTATGTCAGTGTACACGTGCGTTCGAGGTGTTCAGAATGTGTGCAATGGCTTTCTGAAAGTTTCACGGAATGCATTTTTTTTTTCATTTCTTTTTTGTTTCTTGTAAGAATATTGATGAGCTTATGTTTGCTTTCATTTACGGGTTTTTTAGGTTAAGGTAGAATGCTTTTGTTAATGTTAAAAAAGAAGGTGTGTTTGCGTATTTGTGTTGTTATTGTTTGTTCTCTTTTGTGTTTTATGGATGCTGGCAAGTGCCTTGTGGCGCTGGGGTTTTCCTTCCGTTTTTGTTTTTGTTGTTGTGTATTTGCCTTGTCTGCTGGCAGAGAGCTGGTGGAGTGCATTAAGTGCAGTTAGGCATGGCCCGCTGATATATATATATATTTATATTATATATTGACATATTTCCATATTTCTCATGTTTTTGGGGGGGCACCTCCTGAAACACGGCTTCTACAAGCCATTTTTTTTTTGTTTTTGGTTGCGGCAATACTTCTCTTAATTTGTGTGTTTCAGATGTGAGTTGCATGCATAGAGAGTCAGGGGGGTGGTGGGCTCTTTTGTGCCCACTGCCCATTTGCGCTGGTGGTGTGCCTGTCTTTGTTATTTGCTGTGTTGGTTTGTTTGTGACTTTATTTTTGTGCCTCTTGGGAGATAAGAGGGGGTGAGAGTAAGTGAAGGGATTGATGTCGGGAACGCACCATCTTTACACGCAGTCGGGTCGTCCGATGCCGCCGCCGCCGAAGCGGACCCCAAAGCGGCATTCCAGTGTGTGCCGAACGCCAACACGTCGCTACAACCCCGCAGAGCGGAAGCATACATCAACTCTCGAGAACTTCCGCAGTGACACACGTAACCGCCAGCTGGTGGTGGCGCGTAACGAGCGGGAACGGAGCCCAGATAGGATCGGAGCCGGTCGCACCCGTTTACTGCTCGAAGACGGCAGTCAAATGCGGCGACGCCAAGTGAGCGAAAAGGCTCAGTCATCAGGATTGTCTCGCGCGGCAGGCACTCCAGAGGATCGGCCGGGAGACTGGCATGTATCAGCAGTGGCCGACGATCGTCTGCATCACAGCAGCGCACGATGGGACAACATCAATAATAACGCCATCATCGGTGGTTCTGCCGTAAGCCCGCGCCCCGCACGATCAATGTCACCGCATGGGAGTGAGTATTATGATCAACAGTCTCTCACCATGCGCTTGCGCCGCTCCTTGTCGCGCGGCTATAGCCCCCAGCGAGGACGCCAGAATAAGGCAGTTGTGGGCACTGAGCTCATGGCACCAATGCCCTGCCTTCAAGGTGCACATCGGACCTCGAAGAACCGAGACCGGACGACAATAGAGCGCTTCATAAAATGTCAGCCGGTTGAATCGCAGGATGAAATGCGGGTTATGCTGGAAGAGTACAAGGGCCGGGAGAAGGAGCTATGTGAAGCGCTAACTGACGCTTACGGAGATTCCTGGGAAGCGGCTGTGAAGGGTGGGAGCGTGAACAATAACAACAACAACACTCAGAGCAACACTAGTGTTGCCAGTGCCACGTATCACCGACAGCAGGACTCAGTGGCAAACAAAGGTGCGAATGGTGCCGGGAACGGTGGGATCTATTTCGACCCCGGTTTCCGAAGTACCAGCTTCGATGAAAAGAATGCCGACCGCAACTGGCAGCGCTCTCCAAAAACAAATAACAGTCTCCGGTCGACACCATCACGGCCTCAAGACAACAGGACGAGTGCCCATCGTCCACAGCCGCTGTACGACGTTGGTACACCTTATCGTGATGAGAATGCAAATCGGCACCAAAGTCTTGAGAAGGAACGCTACGATGATGACGTAAGCCCGCAGCCCCGCCGTTTGCCTGGTGGTGGAAGCACGGGGCCTCGCGTCGGTACACTCCTCGACTACAGAGAAAAGTCGCCACGCTCCACTGGCATGATGACGCCGCCCCTTCCACCGGATCTTGTTCCCCGCTAGGGTGCAGCATCACGATTTACGGAATGAATATTAGAAGGAGTTATGATATAGAGGTAGGGGACTGTTTCCCACTATAAGTGAAAAGAATAAAATGAAGACTTTGGTGGGTATCAGTCCTTTTTTTTGGAGATTCCTCCTGATCAGCTGCCCATGTCTCTCATATAGCCGCATTTCGTGCGGTTGTTGATAGCGTACCTCGGTAGGATATATTCAGTTATATGAATATTCATATACATACATTAGGGCCTTTCCTTCTGCTGTTTTTGGTCTAAAGGGTGGGAGGTGGAAGGAGCTTGGGAGGGTGCCATGTCCACAAGAGAGATACGTTCTTGTGATATGGGGAGGACGCAAGAATCAACAGCGCGCTTAGTTCGATTTTTGCATCTGGTAAAATGAGGTGGAGGAGACCTTCTCTCTTCTCTCCTTATCCCATTTTCCTCTTTAGAATTTACCGTGTGCACCGTTGGTGGCGATCGCGGTGGTTTTCTTTTTGGTGGGGAGCTCTCTGTGTGGCATGGCGCTGCTGCAGCACAAATCCCCACCACCCTCACTCTTTCCCCACCCCTCGCCCAAAGCAAAAGGCTCACAGGCAGTGTTATAAGGTCATTTAGTGGGGGAAAAAGGATTCTGTTCGGGAGTGCACCCTGCATATGAGAAGATCAACGCCAGTGAACCAGGCGCAAAGGATGGAGATAACTTTAGAGGCGGCAATACCAGAGGGGGTAAATACGAGGAGAAAAGAAGATAGGGGGAGCAAAGTCTGTAGAATCGATTAAGGCAATATATTACTTTAGGTCGACTGTCCCGCTCCATAGAACTCTTGTGATGTGCGCAGCAGCCCATTTACTTCCTTTCCCTTTCCCCTCCTACTATTAATATGATGTGTTGAGGGTGCTGCTGTCGGTGCCATCTCTCTTTATGCAAAATACCGCACGGCATAAGATACGTTTGTGCCTGAAGTTGACGAAGAAATCAACAAGAACGTGGTGCAACGGACGGAGCAAGAAGAAAACCCGTTCCATACTCGTTTCATATGCTGTTGTTGGGTGTCTGGTTTCCGCTGTCTTATTCACATTATATTATTGTTGTTTTTTTGTTTCATCCTCTGGATCTGCCCCCCCCCCCGAAAGATANATATATATATATATATATAGCGAGAGGGGTTGAGAGAGAGAGAGAGAGAGAGAAAAGAGATGACACAGCTGAAGGCGTCACACTTGCTCCCACCAAGACTGGCGTTGATAGCTCTCACGCTCACCCTCGTGGCGCTCCCCTCGTTGCAGCTCTGTAGTGCCGAGGCGGGCATGGCGGATCTCGTGCTGGGGAAGGCGAGCAGTCCAGTGGAGCAGCTACAGCGGCACGACATGCGCTGGCACGCTGCGACGCGTTCACGTGGTAGTACGGAGTGGAGTGACGTTGGCGAGGCGCACGTCAATGCCCCCGCGGGGGAACGCGTGGTGACAGTCACCATGGCGTCACAGCTTGGGTCATTGCAGTGCGAAGAATCGCGACGGAATGTTGGTGGCCTTCGCCACGGGCGCTGCACACTGCAGCCCACCCCCGCTCTCCACGACGATGTCTTCTTCAGCTATCGCGTTTCGCTGAAGGGGGCAGCAGCAGATGTGGGTGCTGCTGGCGCAGATGGTGTGTCGCGCAGGGGCAAGCTCTACAAGGAAGGTAGTCATGAGAACAGCGACGTGGAGGTGGGCACCGTCACTTTCAAGGAAGATGGGCATAACGAAAAGGCAGCAGAGGGGTTGAACGGGGCTATTATTCTGGAGTTTGACACGACAAATGCAGCACACGATCAGGTCGAGTGGCTGCCAGGGGCTCTGAGGCTCACTGGTCTCTCACTGAGCGAAGTGGAGGTGCGTGACTGGCGCAGGCGGGCTGCAACAACGATGCTGGAGCGTTGGGGCTGCCCTGTGCTAGTGGTGGCCACACTGTGCGGCGTCCTCTTCTTTATGGGGAAGGTGGCGAACCGCCAGGCGCCCACGGCTGTGAAACCCAAGCAGGCCTAACGTACTGTTCATGTCTTGGCGTTTCGTCTTGGGTGGCAAGGTCACTGGTTTTTTTTCTTTTCCTAACGTCTACACTGCAGTGTGAGGCATGACTTACCTTTTTTTTCTCGCTTCAGCGGCAAGGCACTCTCTAGTTAAGAAGGAGAGAGAGAGAGAGAGAGAGAGAGAAAATTGTGGAAAAGAGAAGGAAGAAAAGTGTCATGTAAGCGAATCGATTGAGTGGCATGCTTTCTCTGATATATCCCTTCGCCTACGGCTCGTTGTGTATTCCGCTTCTTCGCTCTTCATGCCGCGCCATCGGTAAAAGCAAAAGTATCCAGCTTCGGCGCATTCAGATATACTTCTTTGTATTGCTTGCGGACGTACAATCCCACGCGGGTTTGATTGTCTATACCACCCCGTATCCACAATGATCGGCACACCTATCGAGCAACTCACAACTGCGCAGATAAAGGATGAGCTACGCAAACTCTACAACTTCAGGGACTTCTCGGACTGCTTAGATCAGAAGGACCTGCAGGCTAAACTCACCACAACACGTAATACGCAGCTGATCACCCATGGACTGCGGTACGGGCCTCTGCTGCAAATAGGCAACAGACAGAATCCGTCTGGTGTGGTGACGCTTTCGCATGGATTGGGCGACTCGGCCCACGGCTGGGAGGGTGTGGCGGCGGAGCTGGCGCGTGGACTGCCGCACCTGCTGTTCCTGCTGCCGACGGCCCCGATACGGCCCGTCACGATCAATGGCGGCATGTCGATGAACGCGTGGTACGACATCAAGGACCTCCTTGGTGAGTCATCGAAAGCGCGTCAAGAAGGTGAGGAGGTGATGGCCTCTGCCGACTACATCAAGAGTCTCGCGTACACTGCAACGCAGCGGTACCGCATCCCCAGCAACCGCGTTGTGTACGGTGGCATTTCACAAGGGGCTGCAGTATCGCTTGCCACGGGGCTGACGGCACTCATTGCGCCGGCCGGTGTGGTGGTGCTGTCAGGTTATCTCGCTGGCAGCAGCGAAGTGCTGCCGCGGCTGCGCAACAAAAGCACGCCTATTCTCATGTGCCACAGTTCACAGGACCCCATAGTGTCGTTTGAAATGGCGCAGAAGGCAAAAGAGGCACTAGAGAGTGCCGGGGTCTCTTCAATTACATTCAAGTCATACCCTATAAAACACTCATCGTACCCAGAGGAGCTGAAAGAATTTGCAAAATTCTTGAGGACCGTGCTGCCACCTCAGCAATCCAAGGCGTAGTGGTGTGTTCACGTTACTGAGTGCGCTTAGGGAGGGTATCGTAGACGGTTGGGAAATTGGGCACCTGAGTTGTGCTAGGGGGAAGAGGAAGAAAGAGAGAGAGAAAATTGTGGAAAGGAGAAGGAAGAAAAGTGTCATGCAAGCGAATCGATTGAGTGGCATGCTTTCTCTGATATATCCCTTCGCCTACGGCTCGTTGTGTATTCCGCTTCTTCGCTCTTCATGCCGCGCCATCGGTAAAAGCAAAAGTATCCAGCTTCGGCGCATTCAGATATACTNAGAGAGAGAGAGAGAGAAAGAGAGTTTTATATCTATTTGCATGCGTAAAGGATTGCTTCTGTCTCTGTGTGTCTGTGTTTGAGTGTGATGCGTCTCTCTGTCGGTGTTTGGCTGAACTGCATTTTCTCATTCCCATTCGCCTCCTCTGGTCGTGTTGGTGAGCAGCTAGCGACACACCACCACTACTAGTCAGTCTCTCCGCCCCCATCTCGCATTGGGTTGTCACCCTCCCGTGTTGGATCGTGTGTGGAGAGAAGGCAGAAGAAGCAAACAACAAAGCAAAAAAGGAACGAAGTGATGCGTCGCTCCGAAGCGCGGTGTGTGGGACTCTTCTGGCCCACTACCGCCCCGCTTCGCGGCGGCTACAAGTTCTTCGAGGACATGTTCCCGAAGCACGATCCAGCACCGCGCTATGCGACGTACGAGGAACAGGCAGGCAGTGCCACCGTCAAGTCCCTCGAGCCGAAGCGGCAGATGACGGAGACGGAGAAGCTGCACCACCTGCACGACTGGAAAAAGGAGAACGATGGCCTCACGCCGCCGCCGGAGTTCGGCTGGCCGGAGGAGTGGGGTCCGGAGCCGGGCGAAGAGGGCCACAGCGAGTGGTACAAGAAGAACCGTATGTACATGTCGTACGAGGAGAAGTGCAAGTACGACCTCCGCACGGGCGTCCCGGTGGAGAAGAACTCTATGCGCCACCAAGAGATGCCGTACCACAAGCGCATGAAGGCGGCATACCACAACCTACATGAGGAGAAGCCGCAGTGGTTTGACCCGCGGCAGCGCAAGTATTGGGCGCACTACTCGTACGAAGATCAGCGCGACTCTGTCGCCAAGTCACGCGACGACTACCTGCGGGAATGGCTGGATAAACCAGATGTGACGCGAGAGAATGTCGCCAAGAAGATAGGTGAATACAATGGCACGGCGAAGCAACAAAATGTGAAGCCCGTGCAGCGGCGCCCCGAATGGGAGTTGGCGCCTTTGCCAGGGGAAGATTGAGAATGAGGCAGCGCTGCATGTGAGTGCTGGGGTGCGTTTCTGTGCCTGTGTCTCTGTTTGATTGTGTGTGTGTGTGTGTGTGTGTGTGTTGACATCATGTTGAACAGTATGGTGTTTTGTTGGACGTGAGGAAATCGACGCCATCATCTTTCCAACCGCTCATTGATGCATCTGCCGAATGTGCGTCTCCCAATGCCCTTTCCCATTGCGCCACGAGGGGGACGGAAGGAAGAAAGATAGAAGAGATGTTGCGCCATACTCCTCTTGGCGGCGGTCTTGCCCGTGCTGTGTTGGGCTTAGCAATGCCTGTGCGCTGCAGGGCGTATCTCTTAACGCCCGTACGCCACCAGAGCTCAGCAACAGAATCTAAGGCAGCAGCATCGACAAAGCATTCACACCAGCCAAAGAAAAATGCCATCCATGCCATGAGCACAAACACGGCGGATGCCTCCGCGTACGTCGGTGGCGATGACTTTCCAGATTACTCCTCGATGCGGCACATGGGGTACATGCTGCTGCACAGCCGTCGTGTGTGGGTGCCGGCGTTTATGGTTGCAACTTACTACGCCGTTGCGCCGCTCCTCCTAACGTCCTGGATTGCGCAAGGCTTCTACTGGAGTGTGGCTGTGCTGCTGCAGCGACTCAACGTCCGGGGACGCATGAACACTGTTCGCAAAGATCTCCACGGTTCCACCTGCGTGGTGACAGGCGGTACCAGCGGAATTGGTCTGTACACGGCGATGCAGCTGCTCGATATGGGGGCACATGTTGTCGTCACGGCGCGACCGGGGCGCGAGGAAGCAACGCGGGCGTACATGATGGCGCACTGCGAGTGCGCGCGCGGCCCCGACGCGACGGCGCTGCAGGAGCGGCTGACGTTCGTCCCGCTGGACCTGTCGGATCAGCTCGACGTGATGGCGTGTGCTGCACGTATCAAGGGGAAGTTCCATGACCGCATCGACCTTCTGGTGAACTGCGGCGGCATCTGGCGGGAGGAACCGGGCTTGACGAAGCAGGGCTTTGAGGAGCACATTGGCGTCAACTTCCTCGGTCCCTTCCACCTGACGGAGGCGCTGCTGCCGTCGCTGCGCCGGTCGAAGCGCGGCGGCCGCGTCGTGTATGTGACGTGCGCGTCACACAACGGCGTGCACCGCGCAAACGTCGTGAAGGAGCGCATGCTGCTGCAGCCGACATTTGAGGAGCCGCAGGTGACGGCGCGCTGCTACAGTGCCTCCAAGCTGGGTAACGTGTACCACGCGCAGTCTATCGCCGAGCGCCGCTACGAGGGCGTCCCGCTCAACACGCCGTCGGAGCTGCGGCCGGTGGACGTCTGCATCGCCGACCCCGGGTTCTGCGCGACAAATCTCACGTACCGCGAGGCGCCACCGCTGCTCGGCATGAGCATTCTCGCCCGCACGCTGCGCTCACTGTGGATCAAGGACGGCTACGAGGGCAGCCAGACGGTGGTGAACTGCTGCGTGCGCGAAGACGTGGAGAATGGTGGCTACTACGCGGAGTGCATGTTGATGCCGGGTGGGCTCAGTCGCCGCGCGCACGACCCAAAGAGCCGCAATGAAGTGGTGCAGTGGGCAATGGCGAAGACGATTGCGAAGTACTACACAACGAGGTCAACGGCGGGAGGAGGAAATGATGTGAATACCGCCGCCACTGCTGCGAGGGAGGGGAGCAAAAGCAGCAGTAAGGCGGGTCAGTGAAGACGCATTGTTTCTTGTCGCTATTCTTTTGTTTTTGTTTCTCCTGGGTTGGCACTCGATGAGGCGTCTGGGGTTTGAGACGGAGAGGCGGGGCGCGTGCGAGAGGGAGAAGGAAAAAGGAGAGGGGGGGAGCAAGGAAGGAAGGCAAGAACGACATTTGTGGTTTCCTCGTTCTGAGCATGTACACGCTGTGTTTGTTGCACCCTCAGCGGATCTGCCCATGACGCTCCTCTCTCTCTCTCTCTCTCTCTCGCTCCCACTCTCTTTGCATTTCGCGCCTCCATCTGTGCCGCACGGCGTGTAGGAGCGGGATGGTGTGCGGGTCTGTTCTCCGCCGTGCCGCGGCGGCAGCAACAACAACTCGAACAGGCCTCCTCGCGCCAGGGCGGCGCTGCTGCTGGGACGGCGTGCGTCATTACCACCAGCAGACGGCATGCCTGCTGCGGCCGCGCAAGCTCTCGCAGGCGAAGCAGACGCCGCTCTACCCCGGCATGTATCGCCGCGTGAAGAAGTTTGAGGGCGAGCACACGTACGACTACGGCCGGCACACCTTCACAATTCTGCGCGAGGGCTCAACCTTCGCCATCTTGCCGCTCGGCTGCATCCTCGCATACGCCGCAACTTATCTCGCGCCCTTCGCAGCCTTGCCGTTCGGACTACAGGCGTCGTACTTAGTGGTGCTGCTAGGCATCTCGCGGCTGTCGGCGCGTGGCCGGCGTAACCGCGAGCGCAGGGACCTTACCGGCCGCCACGTCGTCGTCACGGGCGGCACGAGCGGCATTGGGCGCGAGACGGCGGCGCAGCTGGCCGCGATGGGCGCCGACGTAACGGTGTTGTCGCGCAATGGGCCGCATGTTGATGCGGCGATGGCGTACATTAGACGCTTTGCGCGGGGCGAGGCACAGCAGGTGCGCTTCACCGCACTAGACCTCGCGGACTTCATCGCCGTGCGTGACTACTGCAAGCGCGCACGGCAGCAAAAGATGTCGGTGGACATTCTCGTGAACAACGCGGGGCTGATGCACCAGCAGCAGGTGTTTTCCCGCTTCGGCGATGACGAGCAGCTAGCCGTCAACCTCCTCGGTCCATTCTTGCTAACCGAGGGGCTGCTGCCACTCGTGACGGTGAGTGGCGGNGTTGCGTGCTCTGCGCATGTCGCGGTGAAGGGGAACATCGTGTCGACGTACCTCTCTGGGCGCGGTCTGTGGTCGCCGCGGGTGCGCGACAAGTTCGACGGACTCGAGCAGTACGGCTTCACGAAACTCGGCTGCATCTATCACGCGCAGGACTTGGCGGTCCGCTCCTATAGCGACGCGTCCAGTGTGGTGCCTCACGTCATAACGACAACCACCCCCACTACCACCCATGGGCGCATCGCGATACAGACAAGCAGTAATGCCAGCAGCAGAGGCGATGAAAATAATGCCAATGGCGATGGTGCTGCGCCGCAGTACACCACCTGTGTCGCGGTTCCCGGGGGCGTGGTGACAAGTTTGTACCGTCACGTCCCACTTGCTGCTACATTTCGCTGGGGGCGCTATGTTTATTTACTGTTCATGCGCTCTGCGCGTGAAGGGAGCCAAGTTGTAGTGAACTGCTGTGTGCGGGAGGAGCTGGTGAACGGTGGCTACTACCAGAACTGCCGCTATAGCCCCAGTGGGCTCTCCGCCGCCGCCTGCAGCGTGGGGGAGCGGAAGAGTGTGCTGGCGTGGGTGCGGCGCAAGATGCAGCCCTACATGCGCTGGGAGAACTAGTCGAAAGGGGACGGAGAGAGGGGGAGGGATAAAAGGTGGGGAAATCTCGCTAGATGCATGGGTGTGTTTGATTTGTTGTTGTTGTTGTTGCGCCATGTTATGCCTGATGTGGAGGAGATGAAACGTGGTGAGAAGAAGGGAGAAAACGTGTGGAGCAACCGAGTTATAGGAATGCACGTGTGGTGAATGAGGAGAAGATGGTGGAAAGAAAAAGAAGAAGACAATACGCGTTACAGCACAGGCATTGGGATCTGGCAGCTGTTATAGTACCTGATGTTTCCTCTCTCTTTTTGATTCCTTCAGCGCTTCGTATATCCTGCGTCCACTCCGCCTCCTGCTCCTCCTTTTTTTTTTCTGTTTTCATTTCCGCCGCAATGGGCGGAGTGTGTGCGCACCCCCAAAAAAAAAACAGCAGCAGCAGCAGCAGCACGGACTTATTGCGATGGTAAAGATCACGGCAGACGAGTCCCAGCGCATCAAGACGGCGTTTCTCTCGTACGCGCAGGGCCAGAGCAAAGTGCCGGAGGCGATGATGGATCAACTCATCTGTGGCGCCATCCCCGGCCTCACGTGGGAGCAGCTGCAGGAGAAGAAGAAGGGCCGCGGCGCCGCGGACGGGTTCGACCGCAGCGCCTTCTTTGCCCTTGTCGCCTCAGATGATCAGTACGTGCGCTTCGTTGCGCAGCACTTCCCGCCCGCGCCGGTGGAGGAGAAGCCACCGGAGGTCGACGCGTTGGAGCTCAAGACGCAGAAGGGCTTCTAACATCCACCGGTTTCGTCTCATTGCCGCGTGGATGGGAGGCGCGGCAAGGCACACGTGTATGTACATGTGAGGGTATACATTGTAGAAGCTACGGTGAATGTTTTGCGCAGACCAAAAAAAGGGGGGGGGGCCAAAATGATGATGGAAGAAGAACTGTTCTCGGTTGCATGTGCTACTCCGGAGCGGTGTGCGCTTCTCCGCTTCGCATTCATTTTGTTATTTCCTTTTCTTTTGTTTTCTTTTTCTCTGCGGCACTGATATATGGCCTGGATTTTGAATGTCATGTGTGTGTGTGTGTGTGTGTGTGTGTGTTTGTATGTGTTGTGTATAACTCGGAGAGAAAGGCTACGCGTCCGCGCGTGTGTGTGTGTGTGTGTGTGTCCGGCTCTCTCTCTGTCTGTCTGTCTCTCTCGCGTATGTGACAGTGCGGTGTGTCGACGGCATTTTTATTTTTGTTTTTGTTTCTTTTTGCTGCGTCCTCCTCCTCCTCCTCCTGCCCCGCTATTGCCTGCCGCAAGAAGAAAGGAAGGGAAGGTTGACCTCGTAGCCTCCGTAGTATTATTGCTATTTTTTTTTTTAGTTGTTCTTGCCGTTGTGTTCGCGTGATTCTCTGCGTGTGTGTCCGCTCTGATCTACTCTGTCCGATACACTCAGGTACGCCCAATGGAGGACAATTTGGCTGCGGAAATCGCCAGAATAGAGGCGGAGCTCGAGGTGGACCGTCAGCTCCGCGAACAACAACGACAGCAGCAGCAGCAGCAGCAGCAAACTAAACAGCAGCAACCGTTCGGCTTCCAGGGGGTCGTATCCGCCTTCGGGGCGTCCCCCGCCCAGCAGCAGCAGCAGCAGCAGCAGCAGCCACAACAGCAAGGCGGGATAAATCCCACACCAGGACACCGACATCACCAACAACAACAGCAGCCACAGCAGCAGCACGTGGCTCCAGGCGCGTCAGCGCCAACGTCTGGGCAACCGCATCAGTTCTCGAAGGATAGCGATAGTCGCTCCATCTTTGTGGGCAACCTGCCGAAGGGCGAGAACGGAGGCCCCACTTCCACCCCGGAGGAGTTGGTCCAGTTCTTCTCCGACTGCGGGCAGATACTGAACTGCACGCTGCTGCGTGACCGCACGACGGGGGAGTTGAAGGGCACGGCGTACATGGAGTTTGCGTCTTATACCAGCATGGGGAAGGCCATCGACACGAAGAACAACGCTAACTTCAAGGGCAGTACCATTATTGTATGTTGACCGTGAGTTCCACAAACTTAACGCACCAAACCCCCCTCTCCCTCTCTCTCTCTTGTACGCCGCCAGGCGCCCCCTTCTTCAAAAACAGAAGGCGAGTATGTGAGTGAGTGCGTGGTTGAATAGGGGGAAGGAGACACACAAGCACAAGGTAGCAGAAAGCCGCCGTAACACAGGTGTGATGGCACCGCCAACACAGAAACACGGGGCAGTAAGTTGTTGTTGTTCACGCATGTGGGACGGCAGGCGTGGGAATATATTCAAGGAAGGGCTCTCTCTAATCCCTGCCTGGGCATCCACAATACATTTGTGTAGGACACATAGACATACACACACAGACATATATATATATATATATATA